GGGGGGCACGCATTGGGACAGGCGGGGCCAGGGAGGGGAAGCACGTACCGATGATGATGATAAGCAGGAGGATCACGATACCCGCGATGATGAGGTTGAGCTTGACGTTCTTCCACCAGAACTGCTTGCGGATCTTGGTGGCACCGGTGCGGAACTGGTTGGCCTGGTTCTGCAGCTGGTCTGTGGTGGGGGGCGATGAGCGCGCCAGGCGAAAGGGAGCGGGACGGGGGCCAAGTCAGCGGCGGCACCACAACAAGAGCGAGGGAGAGGCGAAGCAGAGGAAGGGCGTGCGAAGGGCAGGGCGAAAAGGGGGGGGGGGGGGGGGGGGGGGGCGGGGGGGGGGGGGGGGAGAGGGGGGGGGAGAGGAAAGGGGGGGGGGGGGGGGGGGGGGGAGAGGGGGGGGGAGGGGGGGGAGGGGGGGGGGGGGGGGGGGGGGGGGGGGGGGGAGGGGAGCCAGGCGGCAGGAACACGCACCAGTGCGCTCCTGGAGGTCGTCCAGACGCTCGCCGCGCTCCATCACCTTGCCCAGGTTCTGGTGCATGATGGACACCACCTCGTCCACCTGGGACTGTGGCTGTGGCAGCTTGTCCGGCTGGCCGGATCCATAGTAGTCGTTGCCGCCGTGGGACGTCGAGCCGTACGGGGCGTTGGAGTTGTAGGGGGAGGCCCTGCATGAACGGGTGATACGCATATACACATACGCACATACACACACACACACACACACGCCCCCCCTTTCGTCGCCGCTCCTTGTCTGACTGAGAGAGGAGGGGGAGAGGGGTGCTCCTGCCCGCCCACCAGGGGAAGGGAGAGGATTACCCAGAGGTGGCATGATGCATAAGCAGCATCATGCGTGCGCGTGAGTGTGTGTTTGTGTCTGCGTCTGACATCACACGCGCGCGAACACATGGACGCGACACAGGGCAGGCGGAGGAGCGAGGAAAAGGGGGGGGGGCACCTCGCTGGCTGCCTTGGTCCTGCGCCTTCAGGCACGCCCCTTCCCCGGCGGTGGAGGGAAAGGAGGGGAGAGAGAGAGAGAGAGAGAGAGGGAGGGAGGGAG